TATATTTTTTTTCTTTATTTATTTATCGTTAGATCTATTAAAACCTCCATACGGGTATGCCGTTGCTTACCGCAACTCGCACTAAGGTTGCTCACACTTCCGGAGAGCGCTAGGAGAGCGCAAAAGTAGGAATTGAACTTTGAGTATTGCAACTGAAACAGCTTAGGAGGAGCAGCAAGACTACAGGTCATTAAACTCCAGGAATCAATATATGAGACACATAACAAAACTAACAAATTTTTAAATTTCGCAAGCCTGGTGAGTACGTTTGTTGTTTTTTTTTTTTAATAATGTTGATGAAAATGTCGTTTTTCATTGTTAACTTTGTCTACGATAGACACAAAAGTTAGACCTATTTTATGAGTGTTTAGAAGGAGGATGGCATGATGGGAAGACGAATACCCTAGGGTCTGTAGCACAAACCCTCAGAATCTTAATGTTTCTAAAATAAAATCACAATAGTAGATTTTGCGCAACATTAAGCGAGTAAATAGTAAAAATTATGAAAAAAAATCATCATCAACTTATTTTAAAGATAACGTTCATACAACTTAGTGACATCTTTCAGTATGAAAACATCGCTTAGTTGTCGTATATTGGTCAAATGATTCCGAAAGTGTGTCCATACCCCGAAAAAATCACCTTTGCAAAAATTTCTCAATCCGCATTGGTTCGAAAATGGAGGGCAATGTCATGGAGCATCTGAGATGTTTAGAGTATCAAAAATGAAAGCCTGCAGAGTTTGCACGAAGTGGTTAATGTCGTGAACGAAATTTAATGAAGTTATGCGATGGCTCTACAATGCATTGAATGTATATGTGTATTCCGTTTTCTTAATTAGGAAGGAGGCACTGAGGCGTGCTTATATAACCATCGCAGCGCCATCTAGTTGGCAAATTAATTTGTTATGCATTCAATCCAATCGGTCCAACCGTGTGATACTTTAGTGAAAGACGATGTTAATCACTTTTTTTAATATTATGCGCTACCGAATATTCAATTCGATATCGAAAGATTAGTTTTCAACGATCGATGGGATATAGCATGATACAAAAATTCTATAAGATAGTTTCACTCCGGAATTTTCTGACACTAAACGTCTTTGCTCAGAAATGCTTGAACTTGCCACCTAAAAAGTTTTCAACTTGGAAATTTTTTAATTATTTTGCGGAAAATTTCTAAGCAGATGCAATGAAGTAAAATATTTGTTTTAAACCGTTTTTTATAGGCGGCAAAGTTAAGAAAAGGATTTGCTAGTTAGATAAATTTAATGTAAAGAATTAACATCTTTCATTTTTTTTCGAATCTTAGGCTTTTAGATTTTGATTATAGGGACATGCAGGGAACCGCGGGGTCGATAAGCTGACCGGATAGGGATAGAGTCGTAACACCGGTAAACTTTGCGGTCCGTTGTTTTCTCGGAAATTTCTTCTCTGATTGCTTAGCATAGCGTGCATCATAGGAAAGTACGAAAGCACTTTGCGCTTTGAAAGTATTCGATTCGGTACCCGCTGGTGGAAGCAGAGGAAGAAGAAGACATCCACTCCGTTGGTAAGGTTGGTGAAACGAATGGCGCAATGTTGTAAATCGGCTATATCGCGTAAGCGGTGTCTACGCTAGTGGAGTAAGTAAGTAAGTAAGTAAGTAAGAGAATAATTCAATACTGAAACTAGATCACTTTGTTTTCTTTCGGTCGAGCATAAATTCTTTTTGCAATCTAATCTCAATCTTGTCACAATGAAAACTCGAGAAAACGCGCTTCAAAGCTCGGCTCGAGCACTCAAACCTGCTCGACGCTCAGAAATTTTCAAGACATATTCTGATAGGTCGACACATGTACAGACTAAGGGCTCCCTACAGATGATGCTGCAGCCACTGCAAGGAGTATTAATAATAGGAAACGATCACTCATCTTTTATGCAACTGTCGTGCTTTGAGCAGTGCCAGGTTTCGCAATTTTGGGACTCTACTGCTGGATAGTCTATCAAAGATAGCTGACGTCCAAAGTTATGGACGGATAATGAAACCTGCTGATCAATTTTTTGTGGCATCTCAATGGGTCACACCTAAGTGAATCCGACTCGACGGATCGGTAGCTACTACGACCTAATATAACCTAACCTAACCTAACCTAATTGGCACTTTGTAAACGCTGAAGCGATGTTCGGCCGAACGCCTATTCCAATTTGTGATGAACGTCTTGTATCTCTGAACGATGAGCTAATGACCGGCAACCTCTGCAACCAACATCCCCGTACGACCAATGGATTTTTATGAGAAGCTTTTTTCGTGTCAGAAATGCATGCAGAATGCTTGACATGCACTGTGAAGTGGCGACCGCAGTTAGAAAAATTAATTTTCTATAATTTTGGATGTCGATCGGGCCATGATACGAAGCCTGGTCTTGTGAGAAGTGGTATGTAAAGCTAACCACTTGGCTGTTGCTATATTCTAGATGTCGAAAAAGTCAAACGTTGGAGAGCGGCCCAAAGACACATCATCCGCCTTAGCATGTAAATGTGTAAATATGTATATTGTAATGAAATTTACAAGCACATATTCATCAATTTTGAGCTCCAATTTTTGGGACAATAGAGCACGTAAATGTGAGATTTTACGTTCTCAAAAAGGGGAGCTCGTACAGCGACGAAGATTCTCTTATACGCCATCATCTCGCTTTGGGGGTAAATTTCACAAGAATGAAGCCAAAGGCAACATGTTTGATGGTTGCAGTTGAAACTGTGAGCAAAAATAGGTGCAAGCAGAGAAACGGAAATATGAAGATAATTTGAAGCTGTTGAAAATGTAAAAATTTCAATACTACATTTTAGGACAAAAATTAGAATATTAAAATAGTAATAATTATTGAAAGAAATATGCTTATGTATGTACATATATACATTTATATTTAAAAAAAATTAAAAAAAGAATTTTAATTCAAAATTTTGAAAATATGTGCTTTTGCTTTTGGTTTTTCATATTATTGCTGTATGTACATTGTATGTATGTATGTATGTACGCCTGGTTGCAGGACTCATTTATATCAATCACATTCACATGCCCAGTGCATGTATGTATGTATCTATGCATGTGTTTGTGCTTCCTTCCGTTCGAACTACATATTTGTTTTCATATACATACATACATACATACACGTATGTACATATATATAAATATCCGCAAAAGAGACCAGCACAAAATCGGTTTGAAGACAACCAAGCATATTCCAAAGTCAGCGGCATAGCAGCTGCTGCAGACGGGGTAACAGCTGCCGTTTTGGAGTGTGCCCATTAAAGTGTAACTCAAAAGCATGTACACACACACACGCATATCTCAAAATATTTGTATGTATGTAAACGGATATGATACAGGGCACTTGAGTGTATGCAACAAAATGCACACACATACCCACAATTGTAGCTGCAACTCCTCTAGCCGCAACTGCGAAGGTATGAAGCACCACCAGCGAAGAAGTTGTTGTCGATGAAAGCAAGGTGCAGCAATAGCAACAACAACAACAGCTACAACCACGACATGAATATTTGGTAGAATCAAGCAAAAACAAAAAAACGACCAGCGAACCAACGCACCAACGAACCAACGAACATGTTTGCAGCGCTCAGCTGTTTTACCTTTACTTTTGGCTTTTGTATCTACAAAATACAATTTGAATCGACACTGCCAACGAGCACACAGAAACGCCAATCCAACCGGTCGGTCCAACACGAGAACTCATTGGCTTTTGGTATTTGAGGGCCGGCAACGTGAAATTCACAAACAGTTGCGTGCGGAACGCGAGCGAGCGAGTTTATATTTTTAGTTAGCTATCTTGTGGGTTGTGGCGCAAAGTGTTGTATCTGAAAGGCCCCAAGAAAAGAAGCACAAAAAAAAAATATCAAATATTTATAAAGAGAAGAAAAAGAAAGTTCGTGAGCAAAAATACAAAAAAAAATCAATCACAATTTTAATAAAATTAAACAATTGGCGCTAAAGCAAGAAGTGAAGGAAAAATAAATGAAAAAGAAATAAATCTTTCAAAATACAAAACGCACAACGACAACATTCTCACTCAACGATTTCCCTTTCAATACGCCTACGAAAAAAATACATGAAATAAAATACACATAAATTGAAATTGAGGCAAAATAAAAACAAATATAAATAAACAAAATTTCGTAGAGAGAAAAAAATTACTCGTTCGAAGAAAAAATATCAAATCATAGAATTAAAAATAAAAGTAATGACAAAGCCGCATGCATAAAATATTAAATTTATATTAGCAATCTCTCATGATATATATAAAATATATGTGCATGTTTGTGTATGTGTGTATTTCGGTGCGAATTAATGTAAAAAAATAAAATTTTTTCCTTGCAATAAATCAAATAAAAGAACAAAACTGAGCAGCGCCGAGCGGCTAATGCAAGAAAAATTTTATAAAAAAATATTTAAGCAAATTCACAACAACAACAACTACACTACAACAAGCATTGCAACCAATTTTTGTGTGCAGCGTGAATTTTCAGCGAATTGCGTGAGAAAAAAGGAATTTCATGAAAATTTTGTGAATGCATTTTTCTTGTTGCAAGTACATACATACCTACATATGTACATATATGTATATTGTACGCAAAGCGCATAGTGGTGGTGCAAGCTAAATTACAATAATAATTGCCTAGTGACAACAAAAACCACATAATCACACAATAACAACAAAAAAAACAAATACATGTGTACATATATAACTAAGTTGTAAGGACTGGCTGAGCTGACTGAGTGCAACGAAAATAAGAGCAACAACAGCAACAAATGCAAGTAAAAAAAACGAAAGAAACATAAAACAAGCGTGAATAAAAGTTAAAATAAACATTAAGTGTGTGAAGGAAAATATTAATGAAAAATCTTGCGTGTAAAAAAGTGTAAGAAAAATAAAGAAAACGGCAAAAAGGCAACAAACAAAACTTTTGTTATTTTTCGTAAAAGCATAATACTATATATACATATACATACATACATATATGTATGTATATAAAAGCGCGTGTGAATGAAAAATTGCTAGCGAAACAATAACAACAAAAGCCGAGGCAATACAGATTTCGGATTAAATCAATAACATAAGGCATTAATTGAGGTGAGTTCCCAGATGAACTGGAAGCAGCATAAAGCACTTCCTACTTGTATGTAAATAATAATGCGGAAATGAGGGCAGTGGAGAAAGATTGATGAAAAGAAGTACCATAAAAATAAATAATTGTATTTTAAACAACTTTAAATTTAACTATATATGCTGTTAGGTTGACTAAATAATATAATTAATATATTGTATTAAAATTATGTAAACGAAATTTTTGCAACAATTAAAATAAAATTTTGAAATTCTTAAGGTGGAAAAAATTGCAGCATTTCTGATAAAAACAACTTCTATGTTAAGTAATCATAACAACTTAAGAAAATAAAATTATTCTTCATACGCTTGCGTACAAAAAGAATCTCACGAAACCATTTCCAACTTTTAATGGTATTTTTTAATTTATTAATTATACAAAAAAAAAAATTAATTTACCACAATTCACGATGTGTAAAATCACTTAAAAAAGAGAATTTACTTTTAAGGAACTCTAAACATATCTTAAATAATGAAAAAAACGTGTTTTCAGTTCAGTTTTACTTTATTTTATTTCTCTTCATTTAAATTAATTCAATTTTATTTTATTTCATTTAATACAATTTAGTTTAATTTTCTTTTATTTTATTTTTTTCTGCTTTTCAATTTTTATTATTTCATTTCAATCAATTCAACTTTGCTCTATTTCGTTTTATTTTATATATTTTCCTTTAATATTAATTTATTTTTTTGTGTTTTGTGTCATTTTATTTTCTTTTATTTTAGTTTATGTAATTTTCTTTTTGTGTTTGTTATTTTTCTTATATTTTTTTTAATTTTATTTTTTTAACTTCATTTANTAGAACAAAATAATGCAAAAGAAATTAAAATAAAAAAAAATCAAGTGGAAATAAAATAGCACCAAATAGAATAAAATAAAATAAAATATCTTTCAAATATCATTGACCTCGCTGCAAAAAGCAACAAATTTTTGAAAAAAAAAACTCATTTGTCATTGTCCATAAGCGCCAGATATAGCTACCAATATACAGGCATACATACATAAATACAGCTTAATATCTTCTTAATCTGTATGCGAATGATTATACAATATTCGTGCCATTTAGGCAATTTTTCAAAACCATTTGCATACATTTATATATATATAAGAAAATTTATACTCAATTTCATATGTAAGAGTATGTGGGTGCACTTGTCTCTAAATACATACACACATACTTACGTTTGCAAAACCACAGTGCTAACAAATCGAAGCGCGTGCGTAAAAGACTATGTACACATGAAGTTGCCACAACAGAAACGTAAAATCTACAACAAACAACAGCCAAACGGCCAAAATACGAGTACACAAACACAAAGCCTGAAGTATGTACATATACATATGTATGTATGTATGTATCTATACTATTTTATGGTAGCAAGAAAAGCACTCTACACGAAACAAAAGGAAAATTAGTCAATAACAGTTACTAAGCAACAGTCGTAAACATACCAAAATATGGGCTACAACATAAGCTACAACAACTAAACCAAATAATAAAAAAATTATATAACTTCACATATATTTGTCATTTGTCATTTGTCATTTTGGTTTTTTTTTTATTTTTATTTTTTTTTGTATCTTCAACATTTTTCATTTTTTGCTGATTTCGTATTTTTCCTTATTACGCACACTGTTGTTGTTGTTGTTGTTGTTGTTGTTGTTGGCTACCGCTTATTTGTAATTGAAACGAATGCGATTAACATAATTTACTTGTACTTAGCATTATTGTTGTCGCCCAGCAGCAGCCACGGCAAGTGCTTATATGCGTAATTATTGCTGTTGTTGTTGTTTTGTTGTTGTTTCTGCCACTAAGCATTCGTCGCCAGAAATGATCTGTTGTATTGTTGTTTGGTGAATTACAATAATTGTGTTGGTCAAATTATATGCCGCAGAGATATACAAATTTATACAAAAGTGTGTGAGTGAGACCTTGGCAGGCAATTTTCTGCAGCAGCAACAACAACAACAACAAAACCTCAAAAGAAAAAAAAAAGAAATACAATTGTACCAAAACAAAAAGCGAAAAATTCCAACGAGATTTAGTCACATTAAATTTTGTTAGCGTAGATTTTCTGGGGAATCGAATGGCAACAGCAAGCGAAAATAATGGTTAGATACGTGTACATACATACATAACAGATATATATGTGCAAATATGTGTATGTATTCGTCTGTGTATATAAATATGCTAAAGTATGCGAGACGTAGTAAATCATCAACAATTTTGAGGCTGATGATGACAATAATCAGGCTTTAAATGATTTCTCAAAACACATTTATACGCACATATAATGGTATAAAATATAAGATATACATTATATACATACAAATAAATAATCAAACTTTTATGTACTCGTACGAACATTAATATAAAAGCGCGTGGCCATTAAATTGGAAATTCAATGAAAAACTATAAAAACGGAAAATAGACATTTTATTGCTCTCCATTTTTTTTTTGTTTGGCCTAAAAGCATACATACACAGGTATGTGCATATACAAACAAATATTTTAGAAATACCTACGTATTTTGCAAAAAAAAAAAATATTAAAGAATATGTTATAATTTCTTTATTAAATTTATTTGCTTTAAAAATTATTTTGTTTATTTTTTTCCAAATTTTTAATGAAAAAAACTCACAGGCAATAAAGTCAATATAACAGTTGAAAGAAAATTATATTATTTTACTACATTAATCAATTTATTTATATAATTTTTTGCTTTAAAAGTTTTTTTTTTTTTATTTTATTGCTCTCAATTTTTTTTTTAATACATATATTAGAAACGGCCATTATATGGCTACATGATTTAAAAAAAAAAAAATTATTAAACAATTTATAAAAAATAAAATGATTTTTATGGCTTTAGTTAAGTTTTTTATTTTTAAATTTTTTTTTTAATTTGCAGGTTTTACCGAAAATATATTCCAGTCAAAATAAAATTAAATTATTATATTGATTTAATAATTAGTTATTTAATGAATTTGCTTTAAAAGCTTGGTTGATTTTTATTTATTGCTCTCGATTTTGATTTGGCATAATAGCATACAGACATACAGTTACAAATAAATATATTAGAAATGGACATTATATGGCTATATAATTTCCAAAAAAAAATATATATAAAAAATATATTAACAGTAAAGTGATTTTTATGTTTTTGGCCTACTAGTTTCTTTTTTTTCAATTTTTTTTTACTGGCAAATCTTAACGAGAATATAAAAAGTCCATATTCCCGTCAAAATAAAATTATTTTATTGTATTAATTTAAAAATTAATTAATTAATTAATTTTTTGCCTTAAAACTTTGGTTTTATTTATGTTGTTTAATTTAATTTGACAAAGCACCAATTACATATACTCGTATATATAATTAAATTTGAATCACAAACAAATTAAATTAGCAAAGCCTTAAAACAAAACAAAACATAATGATATTAAACCTATATGTTTATGCATTAATTTAATTTAATTTAATATCTGTTTTATATTTTATTTAGTTACTAAAAAAAGCATTTTAAAAACTATACAAAGGGGCTAAGTTCTATATTCTAAGCAAAACAAAAATATATTAATCTTATTTGAAGTTTAAAAAATTATAAATAAAAATTTTTATTAATTTTTTTTTCATTTTTTTTGTACTCGTATTTTTTTTTAAATATTCTTAAATAAATAAAAATAAAAATAAATGTATTATAACCTAATTCTTAGCAATAAATATGTAAAAATTATTTCTTAGAAATAAAAAAAAAATTTTAAACTTTTAGCAAAATATTAATTTTTTTTTTTATATTTTAAAATCAATAGTATTTTCTGCATATTCTTATTATAATTTAGTGCTTTTCGTACTATATAATCAATTTTCATTTTTCAGGCATCGCCTTTTCAGCTTGAGTTTATTTTATTATACTTTTTATTGCTGATTTTTATTTTTGTTTCTCTCATGCTATAAATAAAATTTCTTTTAAAAAAAATTATATAAAAACGATCGAGACATTTAAGAAATTAAAACGGCTCCTGTCTGGCGACAATGTTCGCTAAAAAAATTGAAAAAAAAAACACAAAAATATATCTCAGAGGTATTTTAAAAGACTAAATGAAAAAATAAAGCAAGAAATAAAAAAATAAGAAATTAAAGAAAGAAATAAGAAAAAAGTATACTCTTCATCAGCATGTTTAAAATTAAAAAGAATTTGAGCGCAAAAAAAATAATTAAATTTTCTTTTAAATTTTTCACATTAAATATTTAAGCGCAAAATGAAAGAAAGTCTGGGGAATAAAAGAATTATTATAAAAGCAAAATAAAAAAAAATCCTTTAAAAAATATAATATAATAAAATATGAAAAACTGCCGCCCACAAAAGTGTGCTGAAGTAAATATTTATATAAAAACTTGTGTATATGTATATGTGTATTTCAATATATACGTATAAATATGTAGATATAAAACTATGTTTATACACACATATGTATGTTAGTACGCATATATTTACATATGTGAAAGCACAATTTTTTTTATTTCGTTCTGATTTTTATATCACCGAACAGGAGATTAAACAAAAACGCCAATAAACGCTGCCTCACACGGCAACAGTTTAAAATACAAAAAATTAAAAATAGCAACAGTTAAATAAAAAAAAAATAGATTAAGCAAATTATGCTGCTTATTATGGTTAAGAGTGGCACTTAAGTGGCGGCTACATTGTAAATATGCGCATTACAGCACAGCACCTATGTATGTACATACATATGTTTGTATATGCATATAATTTTTTCTTAGTCCGATGTGCCGCCAACATCATTTTTGATCATTAAGTAGATATATGTATGTACATATATGTATATTTATGCTTAAAATTTTTGTTTAAATTCTTTTATGTTTAATTCGAAAATTCGAAATCTTTCGCAATCTCAGCAATACACAAACAAAACACATTGCCCTCGATATTTTTGTTGTATAAAACA